TGAGGTAACTACTGGTATAACGAAGCTTGGAGAATATGAGCTTCATGATCTTGTGCTGCTAGAGTAAGTAGTTCTTAGTTGGAGAATTAACTTTCTTGTGCTATGATTAGGTTGGGGTCTGACATATTCGTTCCATATGGTGCAGTAACAATAGCTTTGGTGTAATTATACGTGTGGAAAGTGAAGCATTTCAGGTCAGCCAGCTCGCTAAAATGTCCAAATGTCCAAATGTCCCTCTTTTCCCCTATATACCTTCTAATTCTAACCCTTCTGTTCCTTTAGGTTCTTAAGGGTGTCCCAGAGAGGCCAGAAGTTGCTCTGGTCAAATTGAGGGAGATCAAATGTAAGATTGATAAGAAATTTAATGTCCAAGACAAGTATAGGAATACTGTCTCAGTGAAAGATGTTGTTAAGATCCTTGAGGGGCCCTGCAAGGTAAGATTCTTATTTTACATTCTGGTTGGATTTGATTTGATATGTGAGTTTATTGTTGTCCTTTCTGTCATATCAGGGGAAGCAAGGCCCTGTAGAACACATATACAAAGGAGTCTTGTTCATATATGACCGACATCACGTTGAACATGCTGGTTTCATATGTGTGAAAGCCAATCTTTGTTGTGTTGTTGGAGGTTCACGTGCCAATGGTGATAGAAATGTGTGTCATTTTCTCTTTGTTTCTCCTTGTGGCTGATTCACCTACCATTTGCTTAGTTATTGGTCTGGTGATCTCATTTGTTCAATTTTTAGGGTGATCCTTACTCAAGATTTGGCAATTTCAAAACTCCACCACGTATACCCCAGTCACCGGGGAGATTTTCTAGGGGAGGCCCTCCAAATGATTGTAAGTTGCTGAGGGTGATGGCATGTGTGCTTGTACAAGTTTTATCATAATCAAACTTCTGAGTATATTTCCTTGTCATTACTGACTTTTGCTTCTTCAAAATAGCGGGAGGAAGGCACAGAGGTGGAAGAGGAGGGCATGATGCTTTAGTTGGTACTACAATAAAAATTCGCCAGGGCCCTTTCAAGGGTTACCGTGGACGTGTTGTAGATATCAAAGGCCAATTAGTTCGAATTGAGTTGGAGTCCCAAATGAAGGTTGTTTCAGGTAAGGTTCCATTAATATTGGGACATGTTTTCTTTGTTTCTGTTTCTTTATGGTTTATAATACTTGCTTATGTGTGCAGTTGATCGCAAATTCATATCTGATAATGTTGTTGTTTCAACACCTTACCGGTAAATAAGAAAGCTTTCTCAAATTCCTTTGTTGTATTTGTTGTCATCAAATACTTTGTAATCATCTGATTTGATATGTTGTTTTATACCACCAGTGATACTTCTAGATATGGTATGGGAAGTGAAACTCCAATGCATCCTTCCCGGACTCCACTACATCCATACATGACACCTATGAGAGATCCTGGAGGTAAATCTTGCCTTCTTGTAATTTCATTATTTCTATTTATGTTCTGTAAACTCTGCAATCAACTGCCTATATGCTGGTAGATATATATTACCAAAAATTAATCATTAAATGTTTGCAGCAACACCAATACACGATGGCATGAGAACACCAATGCGTGACCGAGCATGGAATCCTTACACACCAATGAGTCCACCACGGTTCGTTGTTGGATTTCAGTTATCTTTATTGTTTATTCCTTAAAGTGTTCAAGGTATAAAAACTATAAATGAGTTTCATCAAAATTATGGAATTCATTTGCAATTGAGTAAGCTATCATCAGATTGTTTTAAATGCATGTTTTGACTTATGATGAATCATTGAATCTTTTCTGTTCTGCCCAAAAATAGGGATAACTGGGAAGATGGGAACCCTGCCTCCTGGGGAACTAGTCCACAGTACCAGGTTAGGAGTTATTCTACAATTTGGTTGAAGAATCAGTAAGATATATTTTGCTCTTTCTTTTGGAAAACAAATATCATTTTGTCCTTTTCCAGCCAGGAAGTCCACGGACATATGAAGCACCTACTCCTGGTTCAGGTTGGACAAGTACTCCTGGTGGCAATTATAGTGAAGCTGGAACTCCAAGAGATAGTGGCTCATCTTATGGTACTAATGTCCTTCCTTTTTCATTTTTTTTTCTTTGTGGCCAGCTTACAGTAGCAAGTATACTCCAAGAAGGACTAGAACTCCTTCCAATTTGGCTTTGTAGGACCACATTCATTTATAATTAAGAAACATTTTAAAGTCAGTGATAAAAAAAAGGAAAAAAAAAAAAAACACTGAATACATAAACCATAATATACAATGTCAATCTCTGCAGTATTTGACTGATAGATATGTCCTTAATCACACAAGTCAGTAACTTGTCCCGAGACATGAAAACAGTGTCTCTCATTAACATTGTTAAATGGGAGAAGTGGAAACCCTTTTTGGTATATTCTTCCTAATTTTATTGTATTTTAATATTCATGTTTTCCTTTTGTTTAACTTTGTTTAATGGTAAGTGATAACTGATAATTCGACTTATGTGTAACTATTGCAGCCAATGCTCCAAGCCCTTACTTGCCATCAACTCCTGGTGGTCAGCCAATGACACCAGGCTCAGCATCTTATCTTCCTGGAACACCTGGAGGGCAACCAATGACACCTGGAACTGGTGGTCTTGATGTTATGTCTCCTGTAATAGGTGCCACTTTAAGTTCCTTATCTTTGCTGTCTCAAACTAAACAATCTATGGTCTCTCTGTAGTAATTAATCATTTTCAAGAAAAAAATTTATCCTAATATTTAATATAAGCTTGTTAAGAACAAGCACAAAGTTAATCTGAATGTCTTGAGGTCTAGAAATTGTTATTCTGCGTGATTATGACACAGATCTGCTTGTTCTTCAATGGCAGAATAATAAAATTTGATTGAAATGCTATGTTGAATAATCAGGTTGAATGTGGTTTTGTTGGAGATGATGAACCTTGAAATCAGTTTATTGAATACTTATCTTCTGAATAAATCACAATCCACAATTGGAACTTAATGGAATCGACTATTTTGAGTTCTTGGAGTTTCTCTTCTCCTAGCCTTTACTGATGTTTCAGTTTGTTCCAGGTGCAGAAAATGATGGACCATGGTTCATGCCAGATATTTTGGTTAATGTACGCAGATCTGGAGAGGAAACTGTGGGAGTTGTCCAAGAGGTTCTACCGGTATGTTTTCAAATGATTTGTTGCTGCTGAATACTTTGTTGCAGTTATGCATCTTTGCGCATGAGGGCAAAGATGGATCAAACTGCAGCTATGCATCAAACTATGGATTCACGGATGCATGAGGGCAATTAGATACATTCTTGTCTTTTTGCTTATAATTTCAGCAATGTTTGTTAGTGGTGCATTGTTGGATGTAGACGTAACTGAATTTAGAGGGAGAGAAGATCACAAATGGAATTTGCTTCTGAAGTACTTGCCATTAACACAGCTTTAGTAGCTTGTCTTTGGAATTTCTCCCCAAGTTGTCCTGCACACTTTGTGTTTGTTTGTTTTGCACCTGTTCTACAATGTGTTTATTAGAGAAGTTGGGAATAGAACAAGGAAGAAAAAGTAGTGAATTGTGTATTTTGTCCTCCTGTTTGGGGCGATTGCACATTTGCACTTAGAACCTAGTGGTTTTAAGGTTAATCTGTCAGGGTGTTGGTTGACTGAGCGGTTAATAAAATTAATAAAATAATACTCTTTCCTCTTGGTGTTGCAAGAGCACCAGATCCACTACTTGGGAATACTGTCTGTAGGGAAATAGTGGTAGAAAGAAGAGAGGCTTTTTTTTTTTTGGGTGTGTGTGAGGGAGGCATAAATGTCATTGAAAACATAAATAATATCCATTAACAGATGGCATCCCACCAGTGGAGCAATTATTCCAAACCACGGTTGAAAATGCATTTTACCCTGGTTAGTTCCTCTAGTTTGGATGGAAATTGGGAGCTTTGGATTCCTCTCTTAATCAATTTTGAACTCCCAGATCTCTTCAGAACTGGTGACGACATTTAGAGAAATGAAACTAATGCAGTCTTTTTCTTTGTGATTTGACTCCTACGTTACTTTTAAGTAAAATAATTTCTCTCCAATTTCAACAACAAAGAGATAAAATATATATACATATATAGATTTTCGTGTCTGTTTCATAATTTCTTCTTTGTTACCCCCTACAATTGCCAGGCTTGCATCTAATGCCAGTATATCATGTTTAATCCTCAGCTGGTTGGCATTTCCTTCCTTTCTTTCAAAAACTCTTATGTTATGGTTTTAGCTGAGCAATTAGCTCGTTATCTTGCATGCTGTGAGGACATTATTTATTCATTAAATTAGATCTGAGAACTGTTGTTCCATGTTCCAGGATGGCTCCTGCAAGGTTGCCCTCGGATCAGGTGGCAATGGTGAAACGGTAACAGCCTTGCCTGGCGAAATGGAGATAATACCACCAAGGAAAAATGACAAGATCAAGATCATGGGTGGTTCCCTACGTGGCGTCACTGGCAAGCTGATTGGTGTAGATGGCACGGATGGAATTGTAAGGATGGATGACAGTCTTGATGTCAAGATATTGGATTTAGTTATACTGGCAAAACTACCATGATCAACATCGCAACAAATCAAAATGCACAATTGTATATTATTATTATTATTATTATTATTATTTTCATCAAATTTTGTGAGGATTTGTCATGGTAGCTCTCCCCCCGTCCTGCTCCCAAGTAGCTTCAAAATGTTCATTTAGCCTTATTGGACCGAAAGAGGTGATAGTAGCTCGTTTATATTTTCAGTATCATCTCTTTCCTAATTCCTTATGCATTACAATTACATTTATAAAGAATGATTCTCGGGATTTTATCAAGAGTTCACCCAAATTGACTGTGCCTTTTCATGGCCTTAACACTATTATAGATAGCATGCTAGGTTTTTGTTAGCATATACTTCATTGTCTGCTCTCTTTGAAATCTTTCTCAAAGAATAAACCTAGTTTCAGTATAAAAAAGTAGGTATCAGCTCCAGGCAAGGGAAACAGTTTTATTTTTACTGTATATTTACAAGATAGAATAAAGCTTTCGAAACTGCGGAAAGACGAATGATCCCATCTCACCAGAAGTTGGTTAAGTACAACATTTCTGCTACCGTACAAACTGAAATAAATCTTATTCAAACCTGAAGCATTGTTATGAAAATAGTGCTATTCAAATGGTTCAGCAATATCTACTCTTCCATGCGGATGATGCATCGAAGACTTTCGCCTTTGAGCATGTACTCGAAGGCCTTGTTGATCTCGGAGAATGTAGTAGTGTGGGTGATGAACTTGTCTAGTTCGAGTTCCTGCAACATTAGTGATGGTTCTGGTGAGTAAAGCATTCAAAGATTGAATAGATACAGATAGACTATTGAACTCTTGCTCTACCTTGTTCATGTATTTCTCCACCACTGAGGGAAGATCGGTACGGGGTTTGTAGTTTCCAAAGAAGGTTCCCCTGAGAGTCTTTTCATTTAGAATATTCACTGGGTGAGTCTTGAACACAGCATCTTTGTGTGGAACCCCTACAAGAACTGCAACGCCCCAACCCTGCACCCGTAGGTTTTGCATTTGATTAGAGGTCCATCCGTGGACGTACAGTATTTTCATATTGATAAGAGGAGAAATTCAGAATCAGGATACATCATGGACACATTCGAATGCAGAAATCATGGCATCGATATTCCCAGTACATTCAACACTTCTATCAACTCCTCCATTGGTCAGCTCAGCAAGAACCTGATTAACCAAAGTGTTGGCTTATTCTTCAGGTCATGATCAGATATTTGTACTTCAGAAAGGCTTAAAGACATACCTCTTGGACAGGTTTCTTGTGGTCTTTGGGGTTCACAAACTCAGTCACGCCGAACTTTCTTGCTGGAAAAGCAAAGTAAGAATCTCAGTAACATGGCAATATGAAGGCTTGAAGCTCTTCTACATTCCTATGAAAAGTAATTTCTCCCTAGTTACCTTCTTCAAATCTACTTGGGTTCACATCAACACCAATGATCCTTGAAGCACCAGCAATTCTGGCTCCTTCAGCAGCCTAATCACATTAAAACAGCATAAAATTAATGTCTGATCTCAAAATTTTCACAATTCTAAATGGGATTAGAGGCAGGGGGATGCTCACAGCAAGGCCTACAGCTCCTAGTCCAAAGACAGCCACAGTGGAACCCTTTGTTGGTTTTGCAACATTAAGAGTGGCACCAAGACCTAAACAGAGGAAACTTCAATTACTATCAAGTATCAATAAATAATTATTAACAAAAACTGCAGAGTTTTGGGGCTTGAAAAGGAAATTCAATTCTACCTGTGGAAATCCCACAACTGAGAACACAGACTTTGTCAAGAGGAGCCAAGGGATTGATCTTGGCTAAACAACCAACGTGAACAACAGTGTACTCACTGAAGGTGGAAGTCCCAACAAAATGGTAAATGGGTTTGCCATTGATGGAGAATCTTGATTTCCCATCATTGATCATGACGCCCCTGTCAGTGTTGATCCTGAGCAGGTCACACATGTTGCTCTCTTCGGATTTACAGTGAGCGCATTCCTTGCATTCTCCTGTGAACACAGGAAGGACATGATCCCCTGGCTTTAGCTCCGTTACACCTTCACCAACACTTTCGACAATCCTGTACAATGTTCCATCCATCAAATGATCCACTAGTTTCTGAATGATGTTGCAATTTCCCATTGACAAAATCACAATTCCTTCTATTAACGATGAAATGAAACTTACCCGGCTGCCTCATGGCCAAAGATTCTAGGAAACAATGGGTTCTGTCCCTGGACGATAAATAAAAACAAAAACCCATTAACAGAACTGAATCAATGAACTTAAAATCCCAGAATCTGTGGATCATGACTGTATTTTTCTATGTTACCTTTGCTTCCCAGAAGTAGACATCAGTGTGACATAAAGCAGTGAAAAGGATCTTCACACGAACTTCATTTGCCTGTGGCGGTGCCACCTCCACCTCTTCTATCACCAGTGGCTTCCCAGCCTCCCATGCCACGGCAGCTACCCAAAAATTAAGAAGATACCCATTATTACTCATGAAAGAACAGAGAAACTGAAAAACAGAAGCAATTCTTTTTGTTTCAGTCTTTTTTTTTTTTTTTTTTT